AATTGTTGAGTTGAGGAAATGACAAGTTCAGGAAAGTCATCAAATGAGACTTTCCTCAACATACAAATGCTATTTACAATCCACCTCACACAACCATCCCATTTGAAACATGCCATATGGATTCCTAGTTGGTGCAAGAAGCATAGACAAAACTACTGAGCTCTTCTGAAATGGATATCATCACTGTCCTCCAGGAACAGTCTCAGAACCAGGCCCCTTAACATGCACAGAACACTGAGAGGACCGTGACAGTCCAGTACTAGGCTTTCAGCTACCTTAAATTTTTGTGGGCAGGTTTTTAGAGACCAAATACCACTGTGACACTGCCACACCTGTTTCAGCTTGGCTCCCTCAGCTAATAATCAACTGGCTGTCAACAACAAGTCATGAGAGTAGAGCTTCTGGGACACACATTTACTGTTTGCATCTATGCTTGATACCAATTTGTATGTGTGAAAATCTGTGGCCTTCAGTAAAGCAAAATTCAGTGCTTAAATGGCAGGAAATATTCCACTGGGTCTTTCCCCCTATGCAAAATACTGTGACAAAATTAGACTTTTCCAAACTTACTATTCACCACTTCACAGGGCTCATCAATAGCGCCATACTAAAACTTTACCTACTGCAATACCCTCCAGAACTACATGAGCTGGCCAAAATAATTAGGCTTCAAACAGACTGTGTTCTTCTTTGCACTGACGACTCTTGAGAACCACGACAACGAGGAACACCTTGTGCTTGTTTGTTTGAACCAGTGTGACAAGGTTGTTGTGGAAGCCAAGGGTGCCAATTGCATTCTTTTGTGAGCCTGACCATCTCAATGCTGAGTTGGGCCCCAATGATAGCTTGCTCTCACTTCTTCACAATGTTTTTGCTTGCACGTTACAAAAAAGAAACTACTTAATTGTTCACAAACTACCATCTTTGACTCTATCTGGGACATGCTGAAAAACCTTCTCTGGGACCTAACCATCCACCTTTGAATGCAATACAATATGAAGTATATATATATATATATATATATATATATATATATATATATATATATATATATATATATATATATATATATAGCCACAAAGTTCACTATGTTCTAGCAGGCATGCCTTGTTCTGGAGAGCTTAACATGCTAACATGTTGAGCTTTGTTGTGGATTTCTTGAATTTCTTGTAGTTTGAGACTGTGGTCAACTGTACAATGTAGAACTGATAAAGATTAACAGTCTCAGTGAGGGTCTGCTTTCAATTAATAATCATTGTAAAAAGTCAGTAGGTTAACAGCAGGGTGGTAACAGTCTTGGCAAATTAGTGATGGGTCTCCCCCTTGCACTCCCTTCTCAAACACTTCATTATTTTTTATTATTCAATTACTTATAATTTTATTTAACTATTTTGATAAAGTTTGTGACTAGGGTGCTGCAAAACATTGAACCCAAAAGCAATATAATCCTGGATATGCAAACTGTCTGCTGATATGCACCTCCTGTGTGTGCCATGTCTAGCTGTGGAATTAACACAATATAATAATATATCCACATAATAGCAGCATATATGACTAACAGGTTGAAATAAAACAGGTTGATGATGTGTGACTTGTTACTCTGCTCATCATTTTTTCATATATTATGCTTGGTTTGCAGTTATTTTTGGCTGCTACATATTTTTCAAGCCCAGTGAGTACCAGCAACTCAAATGCTCAAATACTGGCTCTTTTCATCTCGCCTTTGCACATAACACCATAGACTATGGTGGTCTTATTGTGGAAAGATCATTTGGTGCACTGGACCACTTGCATTACTGCTATAAGTGTCACTAGTCACTTTTGACATCGGGTTTGTAATAAGGCCAAAACTGCCAAATTATTGTGGTGCAAAGCAGAAGCACATGGGAAAAGCTATGCTGATCAAATGAGCATCACATGATGGAACTTTCTGCATATTTTGAAAGCAAACTTTGGCAAGCATAATCCCTCTATCTTAGTTTGTGCTCATGTTTTAAAAATCCCTCTAGCTTGATCATCAAGCTTAGTCCATGCATCTTTGACATTTCAAATTGATTACATTACCAGCCATTTTATCTTAGTTGGCCATAATGCTTAAATACTGTAAAAGCAAACAGAATGTCTATAAGATACACCTTTCACACAAGACAGTGCCACACAAATCATGTGGTATAGTGAGCAATCTGTGGGCAAAATAATACATGCTAGACCTGGAAGGAAGCCTGATAGCAAAACACCTTAGCCCAATTACAGAAGCAAAAGCAAGAAGCATGATTTCCGCAGTTAGGTATGACCTGCATCATTGTACTGGTGCATAGGTAACATCTTCATTCTAATGGCAGTTTATCACAAGCTCCAAGATCACTATGGTAATGATCAAGATATCTCAGTCAGTGTCACATTTATGAAGTATGGAGTGTTTTTATAATTGTACAAAATGTGTAAGTGGTGGCTATCACAGCAACAATTTTAAGAGTGTCTATTGAATATGAAGGACACAAATGAAAAAGAAACTTTTATAAGTTCTGAGAATTTGAGAGTAAAAAATGATGAATGACTTTTCTAATACATGCCAAAAGGCAATATCTGGTATGCTAGGCAGGAACACAGCAACCTTGTTGGGCCATGCGGCTCATTGGTATACTTGAGCTTGATTAGTCTAAAGACTTCATGGCCAGAACCAAAACAAATATAACAGCCTGAAAAAGATGAACAATGCTATATTTGCATGCTTGGTCTATGGCGCTGGGCCATCATCAGTGATCAAGGATGATGACATTAATGCAAGCAAAACACTGTTTAAAACCAGATTGAATCTTTTGTCTACACTACAAGCACACAATGTTCAAATTGTGGCAGATGTAGCTAAGCGAAGCATGTCATTGACTGATTTCATAGTGGCTTTACTGACTTTCATCAAATTTGCCAGTATTTTAGAAATTTGTCATGTTTAGATGCTCACTCCAATGGCTTTCAAATACCAAATTGTCTCAGTATTGTGTGCTTGCCAAGCAAGGACAATCTTGACATGCTTGAACCCCATGATACAGAAAAGTTGGGTGCTATTATCACTAAGGGTGTCTGACAAACATAGGATGAAAAGACTGAAATTGACCGCATTCCTTTCATGATCCAGCACCACACAGACGTGCCTTTCGGAAGAGGCAATGCTAGACAAAACACACCCTCAAAATATCACTCAACATTTATCATCCACAATGTATATGTTTATCACACCTTGCATAAGCATCTACCGCCCAAATCATCCAACCCAGCCACCCAAAACAGACAGGATAAACACCTATTCGCACCCCATCTGTCAAATCTGAATGTAGTGGGTTAAATCATGGCAAAAACACTCACCAGTGGCCAACACCACACCCAACAACCTTCTTTCCTAGATTGAATGATCAGAATACCACACCATCTCAGTATTAATGCTTCTTGAATTTCTTTCAAACTGCTCACCAATATTCTTACATGCCTAACAAAATGGCACGCATCCACAGAAACCACAACGCAACCCTACCCACGCAGCCGCAATACGGGTGTCCCGCTTGCCGACATACAGAAATACGCGAGCAAGCAAGGGGACCAATCAAGGGAGCTCCCCGCTCCTCCAAAACATGGAGATTCCAGATGACCACACAACCGTTGCACCACACGCCCCACCGCACCCGCACCACCTACCCGACCACAAACACGAAGCAGCACTTGTAGACAAGTCCCAGTGCTCCGAGCGTTTGCCGTAGGTTGTGCTGCCATCTACCAGCGAGACCACGAGGCCTGGGCACACGAGTGAAAGTGAAGGTGGCGCAATGCCAATAGTTTTCGTTGTAATGTACTACACGCAAGGTGCGTGGTATGCTTAAAAATTATCCAACGGCAATTTAAAAATAAACTATCCAAAGTTGCTTGATATTGAGACTGCACATGTATGCTTTTTCAGAAGCCTGTTGTCTATTTCACATGCGGGCCAATTTAGAAAGCCCGCCACACGTTGGAATCGAGCGTTGCCCACATCTTCAGTTTCTCCTTCCTTTCGGCACGCAGGCGCGCGGGACGCTTATTACCAATTATGACAGCAACATTCACTTTTACCTCGACAAGCAACCACATTTCAATATGTTCCATGCCACGTAATGCATCTAGAGGTCATACCCATTGACTTAAGCATCCACAAAGCCGACTTAAGGGCGGCATTGAAAGGGTACGCAGCCAAGCGGGATACGGGAACCCTGATGCCTGGGTCACTTACACTGTTTGGGACGGTTTGCAATAGATATTGAAACTTTTTGCAGGAATTGAGTCCGCATAAGTTCGAACAAAAATCGACAAACTTTGCACTTTCCCGGTTATAAACTTTGCCCGTGTGTCTGGGTTAGGGAGACCCGAAATATCCAAATCGGCAACCATGCATTATGTCAAATTGCAGGCAGATTGCAATCAGTCAAATTGCAGGTGCATCAATGAAGCTGGATTTCAACTAAACTGAAGGGAGCTATCAGAACCTGAGAAGGTAGTGGTCTGTGCAATACCTAGTGTATGTATAGTGTTTGTGCAATATCTAGTGTAGTGATATAACCGATACTGTCCGTCTGGCGCTGTCTGGAGGTTGATGGGAAAAAACAGCATGGGCAATAGCTACCAAGATAAACCAGTATTGACTTGACATGCAATGGTCTCAAAGGCATTTACTGCATTATGTCATGCACATGTGTATCAAGTTGAAATGAAAATAGACACATGCTATGATGCAGGTCGCGAGTTTTACCAGTGCAACACAAAGTGTGTATGCTTTTTCATAGCCAATATTACTACCAAAGGATAGATTTTTAAAGCTGTGTTGAGGTAGCATGGTACTGTTTTCTCAAAAGTGAGATGGAGAATGAATCACAGCACTAACTCACCCCGAGCAAGGCTGAGAATGTGTAGGTTCCCAGTGCACATCATTCTTGAAATCTACTGATTTAAGCACAGTACTCTGTGCACACAGTATAGTACACAGTCATTTGTATTCACATTTTGATGATGATGAGCTCTGACAATTCTGAAAACAGAGAGACCCAATATATGTAAAGAGACCCAATACATGCAATATTACGCTGCGCATTTACCCACACTGACAGCAGTCACACACGTGTAGTCAACGCTATTCCCTCCACGCCTTCCTGAACCCATCGTCGTTCCGGCCAAGGGGTTCAACGTGGTTTGCAACCCCCCCCCCCCCCCCCACCACCGCGCGAGTCCAGATCGCCGAGCACGGAGGCCGGTCGGTCACGAGGCGTCCATGGGACTGTCGGCCGCGCTGCAGTCGGCGCCTTCCTCCGGCTGCTCCTCATCCAGCATCTGCTGCAGCTGGTGGATGGACGTCACCAGCACGTGAAACTGCTTGCGGCGCATCTCCAGCTTGGCGTCGAGTCCATCCTGGCAGGCCTGCGCGCGAGACAAGGCCCACGTCCGTCAGCTGGGCGGAGCGGACGCCGACAGCAGCGGATGCTCCACAGGACCGCCTGATCGCCACAGCTCGCCGCTCACCGTCAGCCGCCCGTGCAGCCGGTCAAACACGTTACGTTACTTTTCCGTAACGAAACGTGTTCAGTTGTTCTTAACAATGGCAACTTGCCAATGGTAAACGCTGCCAGCGAAGAATCATAAGACGAAGACCACAACACGAATATTAAGTTTCCCAATCAAACCGATGCATGCACACCTCGACTGGGTTTCGCTGGGCTCGTCAGCTCACTGGCCGTGCGTTCGTGTGTAATGCAGGGCCGACTACCATGCCACAGGAGCCACACTGAAACTTCACCTGCATCGACTGGAGCTCGGCCTTCAGCTCGGCCAGGCGCGCCTCCGTCTCCTTTCTGTCCGGCTGCTGATTGATGACTTTGGCGAGTGCGTCGTACTCCATCCGATTCCGACGTATCTGCACAAAAATTACCAGAAACAGCTCGAACAGGTACAAAAAATCCAAGATTACATGACTGACTAACGTTTCGGAACGGAGCAAGAGCATGCGCGCCACTCAAACACGCCATTATCAGTTATGTTCTATATGCCAATTAGTCGCAAAGTTTCAAAGAATCTATTACGGCGATACCACCCGTGCCTTTGTCTATCTTGTCCACATATTGAGCACATGTACACAAGACGTTACCGAAACTTTTTGTTCAGGTATGAATTGCACGACTAACGGAAATATCAAACGTGTGCTGACTATGAAGACTGTACCTGTTTGGCTTTGTTTAGCTCCTCCTTCGCCTGAACTATTTCAGCTTTCACCAACTCTGTGCCTGAGTCGATCTGCTTGTAAAGTGTCTCATAGTTTTCCAGCTCAATGGCATTCATCTTGCATCCTTGTTGTGATTTAGCGATGGAGAACTCACACTGGCTCAGCTGGGACATCAGTCGCTCATAAGTAAGGGACCTGAAACCAGGGAGACACCCTGTACCATACACAATATATACATGCATACATGTACATGTGTGTGTCAACACCAAACCATGGGAAATGGCATGTGACAAGGGATGTGCTTAAAATCTGTTAAAGAGAAGCAAACCGTCCGCACTGTTTCACGAGCACACACCAGCAGGTGATGGCCACTGGCATTGCCACCACAACAAAAGAAGAAAACATAAGCCTGGCATGTCTGCTTCTTCTGTTCATATGAAACTTTTAGGACATCAGTAATTTCCACATGTTGTTTAAAGTCAACCCTATAAAGCCTTTTGCTTGGCAAAATTGGGTTCAACTATCAACATTCCCCGACACTAGTTTAAAGACTGGTGGCAGCATACCTAGGACTGTCATGATCATGAGAAGTAGATTCAGGCACAAAAGAACGGCCAGCGGTGTCTGAAGTGGCTTGAGACTAGTAACAAAAGCAGTGGCAGTATACCAAATGCTGGACAAAATAATGGAAAGAAGATTCAAGCACTTAAGACTGACCCACAGTGTACAAAGTGAGGAAAAAATAATGGGCAGAGCACACACCCTTCATCTCCTGATGCATCATCAGACATTGCCCACTTTGTGAGGTTCTTCAGAAACATGTTCAGCCGTCGGTCATCTCCCGTTCCGTCGCCGTCGATCATCAGCCGACGACGGATCACTTCCTCTGTCGGGCAGACCCAGTCAATCACCCAAGAACACAGATAGCTGCATAGATGCCTCAAAATACTGCAATGCCAAAAGAGCTCACCTAAAAACCACGCCATGATGGGGTAAACACAAACTTGGAAACATTTCCACTTAACGTGGGCAGTAGAGCATATTGGTAAGTTAGCAACACTGACACATGCCAATGCTCATCTGTCAATCATAATTCAAGATTGGAGACATCACACCAGGCAACATGTGAAGCCACATGTCATAATTTTGACCAGCAGCCATATGAAGAGACTTTAAGCACCTCTTATCATGCATGGGCACAAGGTCAGGCTTCTGATATCCAAGCTGATCCTTCATTTTTCAGTTGATGGGACCTTTCACAAATCATAAATGTTTTCCAATTCCCCATGATCAGTCATACTGTATGGTCATCTGATACCATAGAAGGAAATAAAATCATGTCAACTAATGTAAAGTTATTTTATAAAACAAAGGATGATTGTGAAACATTTAGCACTTTGCAGCATGGCTCCACATTTAAAATAAAATTAAACAACAGTTCATGCATATTTACAAGTCCTATCTGGTGTCACATGGCTCATTGTTATGCCAGGCTCCATTCTTGAGGTAATGTAGTAGAAACTGCACACAAGGCATATTTGTTTGACTTCACATTAACATGTCAAAGGTCACATCACTGGTGAGTTACTGCCCATGCATCACCCACCATACAAAGTGACATAATATGAATATCCATGCTGTCAAAGTACCCTTAGCTGGTACAGTAGACAGTGACTTAAACTAACTTATATTGTCATATGGTTTTACCCATCACACCTAAAGGTGATGCTAAAAAACTAAATGCTAAATCTATGCTAATCTTGCAAAGATGCTACTACTACATCTAGATGCTAAATCTTGCAAAGTCCAGACAACCTAAAATAGGTCATCACATGCTATGCAATGCTGTTTTCAACTATCCCTAGTATCTTGCATGTATGGCTATACAGCTAGCTGGTGAGGGCCTGATGCCTGAGACCTCATATACAAAGGTACATATGATGCCAATCTGGTGAGGACTGGACTGTTTTCTATAGACAAATATTGTTATGGTCTCAGCCTCTAGCTATCAATAAGTTGTTAAGCAGGAAATGACCTACAGGATATAGCTGTCTAGGAGACTACTTTGACCTTGGCATATACCACTATAAGAAGACCCACATGGAAGACAAACCACCACAATTGCAGGGGCCTAACAGAGGCCTCTGTTGCCTGTGTGCATGTAGGCCAGGCTGCAAACATACACATGCTAAACAATGTTTCAAGGAATTCTAATGTTAAAAACACTATATATTTCCACAATACTTTTTCAATCCTAAAAAAAATAAAATTCAAGGCAATCTTGCCTGACCTGAGTCCAGCACATGCGAGCATAATGTTCAAACTACTGATGCTATATAGGCATCTGAAGCAGCAGGTGAATATTTTGCAGACTAGCCTGCACCCAACTCAACAGTATATAATGGTTAAAAACCACATTATCCCACAGATGCCTCAAGCAAACCACCACAAGTGTGCCAAAATTCCAGCATTAGTGCAAAAAATTACAGGCTTCTAGCAAGTACTGAAAATTTTGAACAACTGACATGAAATAAATAATTTTGAGTACAGAAAACACTGGGTTTTCTCACAAAACTACAAAACAATCCCATGCAAGGAATGAAAAAGCTGCTTCAGTTCCTTAAACACATTTTAAAAATTATCTACACACACCCTTAACTTCAAACTAACCACCACAGTATCACGATGCAAACGTAAGTTCAGAGAAACACGACGATATTCCAGTGGTCGAACAAGCGGCCTTTACACACAGACGACACAGACACACGAGCAGAACAAATATGCTTACCGTCAGACATGACAAATGAATGAATCCGCTATGTAACTTGTCGATGACGACTGATCCACGAACACTTTCAGCTAGATATGACAAACTGCGGCCTCCGCCGGCGACATCCACGGTCACGACCCGATACAATGTAGCGTGAGCGCAAGTTTGGTCAACAGAGCATATCGGGGACCTTTATAATTGTTTAATTTAAGGTACTTATTGGTAGTGTTAAAAAGGCACATTTTGAGGTGCCTTTTTGAGTGGATGGATTTTTGGGACCAGAGCACTTATCCGGTTTTGCTACAGCCCATGATAAGCAGGCCTTGTTATGTGAGCCCTGACCGCTAATTCCGACCGTGCAGTTGCAGGTCAGCGGCATAATTTGGTGACGAGATTTTAACTTGCCATGTGTATTCAAGATGGAGTGTCTGCTTCTAAGGTATTTTTTATGGATTGGAAAGCAACGATGTAGTAGTACAAGTACAAAAACCCTCTTTTAATTAGGTAACCTGGAGATTTTTCCATTGGCATCTACTTGAATAAATTAGTAGTCATGTCTATCAATCCTGTGTCAAAATGTTGGCGCGTTGTTTTCAAAGCAAAGTTCACGCGCTTCTGCAGGACGAGTCACGCGTGACTGGTACGTGGTGTGTTTTGGGGTACTTGAATTTAATTTCGATGGGTGTAGATGTCAGCTGTCGAGCGTGGTTGTCGTGCTTCCATTCAAGCTTTCTCGTACGCTAGTGTCCGTGGCTGATTCCTGCACCTTCGCATTAGGAGTTATCAAAAAGGAAAGGGTTTAATGGGAGACGGAGCACGCATCTATGTGCCATCGAAGTCACAGTCGGCCATCGAGTCTGTGTGGCGTCGGTTACCTCTCACCCCGATAGAGCGCCTTTAGCAGAGAATTAAAGACCATTTATCTGGCATGACCACAGCATTATTGGTACCCAACCTTGTTGAGAAATGACATTAGATGTGTGAGTGTAGTTTTGCCAAAGTTGATAGAGGCTAAACATGGGAAATAGCCAAAACCGCCTCCAAAATAATCAGGTAGTGTGCTTCTTCTCAAATTGGATGACCTGGCAGAGTTGGGGCTAGAATATTCAACTGAATGGGGAACCACCTGCACCTTGTGACAGACAGAGGACCACTGACTTGGAAATTACCTCATGAACATGCTGATGTTGACATTATGTTCTGCCAATAGCAATATGTAATGTTTTTTTAGGTTGTGTGCAAGGGCATTCTATTTGAGTTTGGGCACATGCAATGGCATTAACATTACAGGATGAGATGATGGATGACATGGGTGTGGCATTTACTCAGGATTACCCAGCTTACAAACTTAGATGTATTAATAGGCATGGGGAAAAAGGTAGGTGGAAAAAACTGCTGAACTAAGATAAACACACAAATAGGTTGATTGAGGCATGTGATGTTATACACAAGACCATGCTTCCTTTGAGGATTTTTCTGTGAAAACAATTTGGAATCTTGTCCCAACTTTGCACAATTGTACATATACATATGGGCCAGGATGTCATACATGACCAGAATATCTTTTGGGCTGTTGCATAGCATTCCTGTGGGTGCAAAGTGAATATGGGTTTGCCCTCATGAGCACAGAAAGAAGAATGAAAGGATGATTTTAGGTGGGAAATGAATAGGGCATATGGATATCAGATTCAGTTCTAAGCATGATATTTGATAAATGTTCCCAATGTTTTAACCATGAGAAGACTTGGACTTTTGGATTCCCCCTTGCTCCCCCCCCCCCCCCCCCCCCACCCTTCCTGCCATGGTAAAAGGCAGGCAGTGCTATATAGCCTCAGCAGTTGAGAGGGTCATAAAAGACCCAATGAAACACACACACTCACATGCGAAGATGTATGTCCATCACTAAGCTAAAACCATAGGGATTAGGGACACAATTCATTGCATTAGCAGTCATGAGGTGGCTGACTGGGCATTTACAGGGCTGCCAAAACATGCAGGATGTATGGGTTTTGGGGGACAAGTTAGGGTATGGAATGTTTTGTATGCATTTTTAATGGGCCTTCATGATGTGTGCTTCCTTGTTCCAGAAATGTTTGTGGCATTGACAGCCATGACAGGTCACAGCTTTTGGGATCTAAGCCTTTGATCCTTGATTACTGAGGACCATGGAGAGTGAAGCTAAGGAGGATTTCTCTGGCAGAGGTAATTGCCTGTGAAAAATTAAATGGATGGTCAGTATAGTTGCTCAGAATGTCATTTGGTGTTTGCCTCCTAAATACTTCAGGACATTGCATAGGAACCTGGGCATCTTATGAAGCATGTTGCATATGAGTTGCATGAATGTCAGTCCATGCTGAACATGCTTGGCTTTGATATTGTGCATGAATTCTTTCTGTTCATGCATATAATGTAGGCAATGATACATGCTCTGTGTCTAATGTTCATTTCTTAGCCCCAGCACAAATGAACAAATCAAAGTCTGAAAAGAATAAAACACCAAAGCAGCTGAAGAAAACTAAGTGTCCTGCCACAATGGACGAGCCTCCTTCAGTGGTTTTGGAATTATTGCCTGAAGTGCGGTTTCCAAGGCCAGAGCCAGAGACTCATTTGATTGCAAAGCCTCTGAAGAAAGACAAAGCATGTCTCTTTATTCCTGAGAATGCTGCTGCTTCTGGCTCAGAGTCGATGCCAGAGGTTGGGAATCAAAGTGCTCCAGCAAAAAGTCCCAAGAAACTGACGAAGACAACACTGTCTGGTGTTGCTCGTGAAGACCCAGCAGTGTCCGGCGCAGAATCACTTCCTGAGGTCGGGTAAGAGTTCGAAAGATCCAACTCCTTTTAAAGATTCTTGCAGTGGGTTATATCCTGGAATGGTTTGTTTCACTTGAAATGATGCCAGTTGATAGCTATAGTTGAGCATACATAGTTGTTTGCATGCTAGCTCGATACTTCATGAATTATGTCGTCTTTCTGTGTATTGTTGCAGTGTGGCATCTAAGGGTACTTCCCGCAAACGCCGCGTTGTGCCCTCTCGGTACAAAGAGTCTGCAAAAAACCGCGCCGCCGCCACGCCCACGAAGCGTTTGGAGGCGTCGGGTATCTCCATCAATGAGAGCAGACTCTTCTCTACCGCTACAGCCAGGTAGGTGGCACAGGACCTGTGACCTGCATAGGTTTAGGACTTGTTATCGTTATAGGTCTTGTGATTCTGTGTGTATTCTTTGAGTCATTCACTTCTGATGGGTACTGTCTCCTATGTTAAGGTGTTAAGAATATACTCTACAGAATATACTATTTATGTTCTCAACAGAATATACTCTTTGGCTTAAGCCAGCCACCTATGATTGCATAGGCGTGTGACGTATATGCAGGGTTGTGTTGTCATCGTCTCGAATATGTTAAAATGCAGTATGCATGTTCTGCTTCCAGCACCCCGAATTCCACCATCGGAAAGAAGGAAGGAACCGTCATAAAATCTCAACCCAAGCAGCCCCCAAAGATGGCGAATTTGCCACTCTCTGGTAAGCATGAGATTGACATGCTGCCTATATCGGACGCAAAAGTGATGCGTAGTTTGGCGTTCTCGCTGTAGTTATGTTAGTGACAGCTTGCATTCATTGTGTCGATCCATGCTCTCATGCTTTTGCAAGGTTTAGTATTTCCGACAACGTCTGTGTCATCGCACTGCTGTCACTCCTGCTACGTACTGGATAAAACAGTTACGTATTTGTACATTTCCAACGCGAAGATTGAGGAAGTTCAAAATGACGTCACATGTGCGTAAACCAGTTCGGGTCTCCATACTGATCCATTTACATCTTACAGACAAAACCGCACCCAAAATAAAGAAATCCAACAAGACTGCCACCGTCAAAGTGAAGCCCATGCGCGCCATTGATGCGACAAAAGCTCAGGTTTGTTGCGTGTCACTTGCGTATCTGCGTGCTGATGTCGCGAGGTTGCAGTCGTGCACCCATGTTCAGAGGAATGCCTCAGCATTAAACCGATAAGGTAAAGCTTCGGTTGTTGGGATTGGGCATGGGAATAACAGTGTATAATGTTATTGTTCCGGAAGTGCGTGAAAAATTACGATGCGAAAAGGCAGCTTTTCAATCCCTACAAATCTACGACAATGTTTTTGAAAATACCTAATCAATCTAAAAGCTTATGTTTTGTCGCAAGTCGTAATTTACTGTGTCCTGAAATTTATTACTCCCTTTTTATCTCCAATGATACCAAAAGAAGCAAGGAGCGGCCTATGACTCATTTGCTGATGCAACCTCCGCTTCTGGTGTTGTTTCCCCGTCAGCTTTCAAGTCAGTTTTCTTGTGGACTGGCCATTCTCCTTGACCGATGCTGTTTGGACCATTTCGGCCACCATGCTCATCGAAATCTTCCTCCAGCAACCAGTGCTGTTTTCCAGGAACGGTTCGTAATTGTCGCGAAACAACCAGCGTTTCATGGTGTACGGCAACGACAGGTTCTCGGCGCCCTAATTGCAGGCTGCGCCTCGCTTCTCTGTACCAATCGGGAGCGGGTCGATAATGTGCGCTCTTCGATCATAGTGGCCACCGGGTCTGCAGGCACCGGCCTCATGCCCCAGGCCACGTCAGCCGTCATGGTCACTGCCAATGAACACGTGGAGATGACCTGGGGCCGGGCGCCGTTAAAAGTTCCTTGTTTTTGCTGCCGTGCGAGGAGCGTGTTAAGTCGCACCAATCAGTCGTGCGTTGACACCCTGAGCATGGGGTAAGGTGCCGCCGCGGCACAGCACCACTACGGCGCGTCTTTGGCGAAAATGCGGCTTTGCCGGCATGATAGTGATCACCCCACGTTTCTTTCAGAGTATCCCAGTTTTAGGGTATGGCCATAGAACATGCTGTGTACGCCAGCGGGGTCACACCACCTTTTGCTAGCACTCTGCACCTGCGTCACGTACTCGCCCCCTGTAGAGGTCATACGGAGGCCGGAATCCTGCCTGACTGTTGGATAGCTGAGTTTCAGGTGGACCCGTATTTCGTCTCCGGGGTTTTTGCACGTCCGCGACTGCGGGTCGTACAGTGTCAGGAACTACCTGGACCGGCTGTGGCGCAAAAAAAAGCGTGAAGACAGGTCTGAAGGGGAAGATAGGCATTCAGAGCGCCACC